AAAACACTATTTAAAATGCATTCTTGAGAGAATAATGTGGCTCAAACAGGGTGATATATTATTCAAGCTCCAATAATTAAGACCCATTGAGTCGACTCTAGACCATCTAATTTAATTTTTTTTTTTGTCTTTTCTACTAAAAGCAAAAGACTTTGACATATAAAATTACGAAAGCTAATATATTTCTATAATGACATACTGTAGATGTATTTCAACCCATCCAAGATTTGATAATTAATTAGTTAGGGCACAAATGACCATTTTAATCCGCTATTTATCCTCACTAAGTTAAGCAATATTTCTTCAACGATCCTTTGAACTAATCACGGATGATGAAGTTTAACCATCACTAAACATTGGGCTATAATTTATAATTGTTCAATATAAAACACTAATCGCAGTGAGATAGGGAAAAATCCTTCACAATTCCTTTCTGTATATCGATAATTTTCAAGCTTTCAACTCACAGAGATATTTGCTCAATTAGATTGATGTCACTTATCGAAAAATAAAAAAAATATTAAACTCATGAAAAGATATGCATAATATTGTCCACGAATTTAGTTTGAAATACTCGACGATCAAATTGAATTTAATCTAAACAAGATAATATTATAGAATTAAACTCGACACGTATTCATTCAATACACTCCAAGTGTACTATTGTCACCTTTAACTATTTGCACGATGACAAATCGTAAACCCAAATAGTGAATTATTCTACACTACAACTTTCCAGTAAAAGGTGTCAACTCTTATATATCGATTGTAAATAAACTGAATATAATCAAAATATAAATAGTGTCAACTGTACTTCTCAAAGCAAGCATCCAACTTATAATATTATAATTACTTTAATTTGCATGTTCAATATTAAATAAATGTTATTAGACAAAATAATATAATTTATTTATTATCAACATGTATTTTACATTAGCGAAACTATACTATATGAACATAAAATTCAACAATACAAAGATTTAAATCACTGGTAAGAAGATTCTGATTGTTACAAATCACTTAACAAATTTGATAAGCCAATACTAGACCATCAAATCTTCTCCTCTCTTTTCTTTTCTTTCAGCTATATACATGTTTCCTACTCTTACAACTACAAAATATGTTGTACATATCTAGAGCCTGTTTGGTAAGGATTTTTGGGGGAAGAATTGATTTTGAATAGTGATACGATGGGAAATGTGTGGTTAAAAAAGAAGAAAAAAGTATTGATATGATGGAAAATATTATTTTATTGAAAAATGTGTGGTTGAAAATGAGAATTGATTTGAGAATTGATTTGAGAATCAGAAACAAACAGGGCCCTAGAAACAACTTAAAAATGATTTTTCACGACAAAATTTGCATCGTTAAGAGTAAAGTTTTTAGTGGAATAATATGGGTATGAGATTAATGAAAAAATAATTTATTATTTATTCTGTACTGTTAAACAATCCAAAGAGAAAACGAAAAAGAGGTTACGGTTTTATTGATTCTGCATAATGTAATTGAATAATGAAAACGTAGATACAAAGAGACTATATATAGTTAAATAATCATATATTTCTTAACATGTACAACAGTCCTACACATTACTAAACATGACATAACGTCATGTGGGTAAATTCCATTTACTATAACTATACTATACTCAAGTTCAATCAAGTAACTGTAATTCAATTTTGTTTAATATGATTTAATTTGATTTCAGTAGGGTAGCTCCATCTAATTTCACTTAAACTAACGAAAATCGATGACATGATAGTCAGTATATGATGTTCGTAATTTATTTCAATAAAGGTGTATTTATTTTACGCTAGCAACTAAATGTGACAGGTCATATCATCATTTTTTATTTTCTAAATCATCAATAATTGTTAATGGAATTACAAAAGTTACCTCTATTGGAATTAAATTAAAGTGTAGCTACATGATTAAAACCAAAATAAAAAATAGTTACTTGATTGAACAAAATTAAAATAAAATTATTTGATTGACACTAGAGTAAAAATAAAGTTACCGCTAATGGAATTTACCCCTAAATGTTCATAGAACAACTGAAGAAAAAGGACTATATGGTTTTAAATCTCATTGCATATCCTTATTAATCTTACTTTTAACAAATTTTAAGTCGACTACATAAACTATTTTTGTGTTCGCATTTTTATTTACGGTTACCTTAACTCAATACTTAGAGAAAATTCTTAGTTCAACTTTTCGAATTAAGAATCAAAATAATTTCGCTGGCTCAACATGTTCGAGTCCTATCTCACATATTTTAACACCTAAGAACTTGTATCTAGAAACTCGTGTTCGCAAGTATTTCTTTCTTTGTGAAAGTGTGAGAAAACCTGAAACTTCATTTTTGAGTAGGCTTATGATAATTGATCTAATAAAGAGAGTTAGGTCAATCATGTTAATGAACCTTCTATACACATTTAAAGTTGTGTATCTAAGGTCAAGAAATATTAAGTACAATTAAATGATTTAATTGCTTCTCATTATAAAATTGTTTATCACGGAATTCTTTGAATTTGAACATGTGCACTCATTTAGTGGGCACTTGACATTTACCTACCTAGATGGCTATTGATAGTACACGTTCATTAAAATGTAGGGATCATGAGTCTTAATTTCATCATAGATTTTTTTTTTTTTTTTTTGGGTAGGAAAAGAAATGATGAACTAACATGAATATCTATAATAGGTAATGTGGAAATGATGATTATATGAGACATAAAAAAACTAACATTGAAAAGTGTCTACATTGATCTCTTCTTTTTTCATGCTCTTTCAAGAATGTTCAGTTTTGGGATTGTTTTGAAAGGGAATTTTAACAAGTGGAAGATAAAAGTTCGGCACTTCTTGTTTTGGACCTTTTGGCATATCTTGAAGTCCCCTCTAATGCTAGGTGCATTATTTCAAGATTCTCATCAAACAAGTGGAAGTACTTAATTGAAGAAATTTGCGGAAAGGGGTATTAAAGACTACTCCCTACTTTCTTGTGATACGTGGTACAATATTAGATAGAGTGAATTTCGGACTTTTTTTTTTTTTTGATAACCGTGGATATCCGGACCAGCTTGCGCGCACCTCGACTAATCCCACGAGATCCTGAAGTTTACGGTCGTATACTCACCTCAATGGTCCTGAGTGGACTTGAACTGGTGACCACTGGCCTGTGAGCAAACCCAAAACCTGACCAATTGAGGAATCTTTCAAGATTTAGAATCTCGGACTTGATTTTGAAACAAATAAAATTATTAAATATGTAAAGTTTAATTATATTGTTCACTTTTTTCCTCGATTGTGTACCAATGAAGGGATATTGGCGGTAGTAGCTCTTGAGGCAAAATTTAATGTTTATAAAGATATTTGGCGGTTTACATAAGTATAGGTCGCCATAAATTTTCCACTACATAGAAAAGATACGGCAAGCCTATTCTCGATAGAGAAAAAAGAAACATGTGAGTTTAGAAAAAAATTGTATATTTCTTCAGCTCTTCAATGACAAGTAGATGTTGTTTTTGTAAATTGCGTTTTCTTTAAATGCTTTCAATTTTTTGATTCATGCTATTATTTCTCATCATGAAATAGACTAATTGAGATTTGATCCATCACAATTTTCAAATATAAATTATGATTTTTTTTTCTTGATCAAGATATTTTGTTAACTTTATACAAGTAATAATTTATCATTAATGGTGGATAGTTTTTTGTTGTCTTTGTGAAACGTGTAAATGAAAAAACAATGTGAAAATTAGTGGCTATAATTTCCCCATGATTTTGGAGCAGATATAAATTCAACTTTAAGGATCTATTTGATACGTAAATGTGGAAATGAATTCTAATTTCTTGTTAGTCAGAAAATAAAAACTCACCAAATTCATAGGAATTCGTTTTCTATGAAAATAAAGAAAATGTAGTTCAGAGTGGTTGTAATTTGATTTTCATTTCCACGTTGCAATCAAACGGCAAAAGTGAAATTCGTTTCTCTCGAAATGTGACATTTTTCATGAAAAATGTGACAATCAAACATGGTTTAAATGATAAGTTCCATCACGCCATTATTCTAAATAAACCAAAAAGGTCATTACCACTTAATTGAGCTTACTTTTCTTGCTTTGTTGAGCTCATGGCAAGAATGTTGTGTCGCTGGAGCTTTTTTATTTTTTGGATTTTAAAGTGTTTCGTTGTTTCTTTGTATGGAAAATTTATGAAATGGAGGAAAATTTTCCATCGACATTCAACAACTGAAAGATTGTCGTTGATTGCCGACAATATTATCGATGACATTGTTATTGATTCCAGTGATTGAACAACGATGATAATTTTGTTTGATTTTCAAGCAAAAAAAAAATGTCCACCAGAACCATAACGGAAAATGATCATTCGCTGAATTAACTTTTTTTATTTTTATTCTCAAATAGTCCCCCGACGATTTTGTCTAAGGTCATCAATTTTCTAGAGCCGCCTCTACTGGTTAAACAAAATAAAAATATTACTAAAATATGAAACACAACTTTCTCATATACAAAATGAAAATATATTTATCGTAGTTACGAAATTGAGGTAGGGCATGCAGCTCTATTATGCCCCTACATCTTTCCAATTCCGATTGTGTGCCCATCCTACCTCTCAAGTTTTCACTAGAGAATAGTCCAAGGAAAGATCTCTATCTTCATAGTTTCAAATTATTATATCTTGTGTGCCCATCCTACCTCTCAAGTTATCACTAGAGAATTGTCCAAGGAAAGATCTCTATCTTCTTAGTTTCAAATTATTAATAACAAATATTAATTCCTCCAACAAGTTGTAGTATGGAGGGATGAGTGTTTTCCATCGAGTTGTACCATGCAACTAGATTTTGCAAACCCCCTCCCCCCCACCCACTAAGGTTTTTCTATAAATACTCTAACCTTCTTCTCTCAGTTACATAACTAAATACTTTTGTTTGTTTTTCTCTTCTCCACCGCACTCAAAGCCCAATGGAGTTGGCTAAAATGTTCCCTTGGGTTTTGCTAGAATTTTTGTTGTTTTGTTTTGCTACCAACTATGGTGTTGAAGCATCCCATGAAGTGTACACGAGTTTACAATCCTTGTCTGCAGTGAATGTGAAGCAAGTATACAGAACCGGCTTCCATTTTCATTTGGAGAAGAATTGGATCAACGGTACTTACCTTCTTTATACATATCTGCATTTATTTAACCTAATCTAGGTTGCATGTTTTACCAATACAAAAATTAAAATATCATACAATAAAATTTACATAAAATATCTGCACATATATTTGGATTTGTTTATGTATTCTGGCTATCGCCATCAAATTTAGTCAATTTTGTTTTTTATTAACTTATTTTTACTGATGAATTCATTTCTCTCTCTCCGCATGTACCCTTTGGGATGCTACAACTTCAGATCCAAATGGTAAGCAACGCTCCAGTTTTTTCTTTTAAAATTTGTATAAAATAGTGCCGATTACTATTATACATGGAGCCAATTAATAATTAACCATATTGTTAACAGGGCCTCTATATTACAAGGGATTCTATCATCTCTTCTACCAGTACAACCCCGAAGGTGCTGTGTGGCGCAATATTGTTTGGGGTCATTCGGTATCAAAAGACTTGATTAACTGGAAAAAATTGGAGCCTGCAATTTTCCCATCAAAGACATTTGATAAGTATGGCTGTTGGTCTGGATCAGCCACTGTCCTCCCAGGTAACAAACCTATTATTCTATACACTGGAGTTGTAGATGAAAATATCACAGAGGTCCAGAACTATGCAGTTCCAGCAGACTATTCTGATCCATACCTCCGGAAGTGGATCAAGCCAGATAACAACCCATTAATAGTTGCGGACGAGTCTATGAACACGACTGCATTCCGTGACCCAACAACTGCTTGGTTGGGCCAGGATGGGCGCTGGAAAATATTGGTGGGAGGTAGGAGAAAGCATAGAGGAATTGTTTTTTTGTACAGGAGTAGGGATTTCATGAATTGGGTTAAGGCCAAACATCCATTGCATTCTTGTGCCAATACTGGAAATTGGGAATGCCCTGATTTTTTTCCAGTATCATTGCATGGTACAAATGGTTTGGATACCAGCTCTTTGATGGAGGAAAATAAAATTAAGCATGTTTTGAAGGTTAGCCTTGATGAGACTAGATATGATTACTATACACTTGGTACATATTTCCCTCAAAAGGATAGGTATATTCCTGATAAGAACATGGTTGATGGTTTGAGGGGATTAAGGTATGACTATGGTGATTTTTATGCCTCGAAATCATTCTTCGACCCTATCAAGAAACGAAGGATCATGTGGGCCTGGGCTAATGAGTCAGACACAGTCTGCGACGATTTGAGAAAGGGTTGGGCTGGAATTCAGGTACGTTATTACTCCACTACAAATTTCACTTTTGACAACAAAAAGTTGACATAAAAAAGTCATTTTTGGGTTGTTTCAACGAAAAAAGGGTCATTGGAAAAGATTTCAAGGCAAAAAAAATTTCGTTGAAAGCAAATTTCTGTAGTTAGCATGTTTAATGTTGGAAATGAACTTAAACTCCAGTGTCTAGAACTTTTAAGCATCAATTATACTCGTAATATGTTGATTTAATGAAATTAACATGGAATTCCTGTTTCTTTGCATTAATATTTTTTGTTTTTTCTTGTGGAATTTATTTCTGATTCTTTGCGTTAAAATCTTTTATTTTATGGATTTTTTCAGACAATACCACGTACAATTTTGATTGATCCTAATGGAAGACAATTGCTACAATGGCCTGTCGAAGAATTAGAAACTCTAAGAAGGGAAAAAGTAGAGTTGCGCGAAAAAAAGCTCAAGAAGGGAGAGCATGTCGAAGTTAAAGGAATAACAGCTGCACAAGTACGTTTCCTCCCAAATAATTCAATTAGATATAGTCATATGTCACTCTAATATTATGAACCAAAATTAATTAAACATAGTTTTCGTGGATTGCATATGATTGCAGGCTGATGTTGAAGTAACCTTCTCTTTCCATTGCTTGGACAAGGCGGAAAAATATGATTCCAGTTGGGATGAACATGATGCACAAAAGCTTTGTAGCCAAAAGGGTTCTACTGTTCAAGGTGGGGTTGGACCATTTGGGCTCTTGACATTGGCTTCACATGATCTAAAAGAATACACTCCTGTCTTCTTTAGAATTTTCAAAGCTAATTCCAAGCATGTGGTTCTCATGTGCTCTGATGAATCAAGGTTTGTTCATATATTTACATGTTCGAAAAAAACGAAGGGCAAAATTAGTATTCCTAACAAACAGCAACTCCAATTGTTAAAAGTTCTAGAAGCTTTGCTAATAGCAAGAAAAATAAGTAGTAGTTGCAATGTAGATTTGGTAAAAATATATCTCTACCAATGAATATCCATTGAATATTTGAAGCGTGATGAATGGAAAACGACGACAAAAAAAATATTGAATCTCAATTTTTTTTGGAATGAAAGTGAGTATTTTGAGTTCGTTCTTGCAGTTTCCCTAACTTTATTTTTCGTTATCTTTTCTACAGCTCGTCCTTAGAGGAAGGATTGTACAAGCCTTCATTTGCAGGATTTGTTGATGTAGACCTAACAGACAAGAAGCTCTCTCTTAGGAGTCTGGTATGTCCATAAACATTCTGTTTAACTGTTAACACTTTACACTACTGCTTCTTTCTTGCAGAGGATTTTTTTGATAAAAAAGGGCTCCCTTTTCGCAGATTGATCATTCAGTAGTGGAAAGCTTTGGTGCTGGAGGAAAGACATGCATTACATCTAGGGTTTATCCTACCCTGGCTATTTATGAGAATGCTCATTTGCATGCATTCACCAATGGCACTGCAACCATCATAATTGAGAAGTTGGATGCTTGGAGCATGAAGAGTTCTCGGATTATGCTCATTTGCATGCATTCAACAACGGCACTGAAACCATCAGAATAGAGAAACTGGATGCTTGGAGCATGGATAGTCCTCAGATGAACTAATAAAATATTCCAAACGTCACATGACGACGAGTAGTATGACTAGAACAAATAAGATATGAAATTTTAACTCTTTTACTATTGAACTCCATAGTTTAATTTTCTGTAATCCATCTCCTTGACTGGAGGTCAGGTCAAATGTTTCCTCCCAAGGTTGTATCTGGTTTTATTTTCAATGAATAAATACTCCACTCTCATGGGTATTGGGTGGTTTGACTGAAAAATAGGTCCTTGATGAACTAAGGAGACATGCTGTTTCAAGTTATTTTAAAATTGATTAACTATAGTCACTTGAGCGAATATGAATCTAATTTAGTGTAATAATGTTAATTGTAGAAAAATCTTGGATTTGGATGCATTTGATGCGAAGAAAGACAATTTGAGGTTTAAATGGAGTTGATTCAGAGCAATTGAAACTTACATAGATTGTATTCGATAAATATAAAAAACTAATAGGGCAATGAGAGAAAATTCAAAAATTTCGAGAGTTAAATCCATTTGAAAAGTTTGGAGACATAATTGCCAACTTATGGAAATTGCGTCGAATCAATTAGGGATGATTGTGTAGAACTATAAAGATTCAAAGATGAAGGATCAAAGTTTCCCATTAGGAAAGGGAATCAAACTAAATCAAAGAGATAGGGCTCAAAGTCAAAAATGAAGCCTAGTATCAATTTTTAATGAATTTTAAGCAAAAATATAAGAGTATATGGTTTCTGACAGCTGCAATGGTTGACTGAAGATGATAATTACATAAAATATCCTTTGTACTGTAGTATAGATTGGGGTGGGATTTTTTTTTTTTTTTTTTTTTAATTTTTTATAGAGGGGTATCATTCTAATATCACGTGCACGAATTTATGGTTGTGGCAATCATAGACTTCATAGTTGCGGCTGCATACTGTATAACGGTACACTTTTGGCTTAAAATTCAAAAAAAAAAAGAAGGCTCCTAGATAGGCTCGAAGAAAGAGGGTGAACCGTGTACGATTGCAAGCAGAAGAAATTAGGTTCAAAACTTGACCTATGAGATTGTAGGGTCCGTTTGATTGTAAGGGTGGAAAATGGGTGGAAAGAAAATATTTTATAGGGAATTGATTTTTCTAGAAAATGTTTTACTGAGAATTGTAATTAATTGTGTTTGATTGATATAATTTTTCATGGAAAATGTTGAAAGTTTGATATCCATTTG